GGTCATCACACTGTGGTCATCACACTGGGTCATCTCACTGTGGTCATCTCACTGGGTCATCACACTGTGGTCATCTCACTGTGGTCATCTCACTGGGTCATCACACTGGGTCATCACACTGGTCATCACACTGTGATCATCTGATCACTCTCCTTTGCAGGTTTTTAGTTTTTCTTGTTGTTTGTCTTGGTGCTGAGGCTGGACCCCAGAGTTTATGCAAGAGCTTTACTGTTGAGTTCCACCCCAGCCCTCAGGCTCTTTTGTTTTTTGTTGTTGCTGTTTTTTGTTTTGTTTTTGCTTTTTGAGACCAGGTCTCACTATATGGTTATGGCTGTTCTGGAATTCACTATATAGACCAGGCTGGCCTCCAGATCTGCCTGCTTCTGCTTCCCAAGTGCTGAGATTAAAGGTGCACCATTATGCCTTGCCCTCAGTCTCTAGAGGCAGAGTCTCACTGTGCAGCCCAGGCTAACCTGGGGTACCTAATACTCCTACTTCAGCTTCCTACTTCAGTGTTAGGATTTTCTGGCATGCATCACTGAGCCAGATGTGTATTGGAATGTTTACCAATTGATCCATTCAGCAGTAATTGGCCAAACAATTACATATTTATGAATATTTTACTGTATGAAGGTTGCAGTTCTGTCATATTGGAATTGAGACTGTCTGAGAGACTCTAGAATGTATCATGGTCTTATGTCCTCCTCTGGACATGGCCTTCCTATCTGTGAGGTTGATGTCGCTTCTGTAGGTATTTGAGAGCATGGGGAGCCCCTGCTTCTCCCTCAGCACTTGGACACCGCTACTTCCATCCCAAGTGTCTGTCCCTTCTTCTGTTCCTTTTCTATTCCACCCTGAGGGACAGTTCTCTTTTGCCATTGCAGGTTCCGGTCTTGCTAGCTCTTCAGGATATCCATCTCTTAGAGTACTGTAGGACCCTTTGCCTCCAGTGCTACCTAGGCCTTTGTGTGACTATCTGTGATCCTCTCCAATAATTCTTTATCACCTTTATCCCCAAAGACATGCTCCCTAAACGTCTGCTCCCCACGTTTTCCATTCTCAGCACAGCCATGGCACAGCTTCTTACAGCTTATGGAGTTTTGGTTTTAGAGTTTTCTGTGTATGATGTTCTTAGGGACCATTTCCTTTTCCAGATAGGGTTTCTCTGTGTAGCCCTGGCTGTCCTGGAACTTGATCTGTAAACCAGGTTGGCCTTGAACTCTGAGATATACCCGTCTCGGCCTCCCGAGTGCTAAGATTAAAGACATGTACCACCAATGCCTAGGTTCTAGGGACCATTTTTCAATTCGTTTTTCAGAATCAATTCTCTCTCATCTACCACCTAGCAAGTACAGAGTGTTGGCCCATGTGGGGTTCCATTTGCTGCTGAGACCTATGACTAATAGTTAGGTTTTCTTTTCTAAACTCTTCTGGAAGGGATTGGCATGCCCTTTGATAGCTGCCCCTCCTCTGCTAGCAGCAAGACAAGCAGACGTCTCTGAAGCTCTACAGGACCTGTAACTGATGGTACGGAATGCCTGCCATGTGGCAGGCCCCCGATAGGGTTCTATACTTGTTATCTAGTGTCTGCATTGATTCTGAGTGGAAGGTGGCTTTCTCCCTATTCTGCATTTGAAGGACCTGGGATTTAGGAAAGTGAGTTTGCCCAAGATTGTACTGTCTAGTGAGTAGTCTCAGAGTTCAAACCCAAGTTTTCTGATGCCAAAACCCCGTCCACAGTCTCAGGTGGTAGAATCATCTCTCCTTCCCACCCACACCCTGCAAGGAGGCTTTCAATCTACAAGTCTCCCAGGCCTCCTGACTGTTTTTTACTTTGCACTGAGTGTTGTTTCAAGGCTCGGTGTCTGGCCACTGCTAAGAACACACAGCCTTTATGGAGCATCTGTTAACCCCAGCATGTCTCTGCTTCCTTCTGTGTGGTGACCCTGCTCTCCCCTGCTTCCCTAGCTAGCACAAGCCCCTTCAAGCCCTTGCTTCTCCTGGCTCTCTGGTCTGACCTCTCAGCTGCCCACAGAATACTCTTCTTCAGATGGCAGTGTTCCCCAGGCAGACTAGTCTATTGGCGTTTCAGACCAGTACCTTTTCGTTGTTTCTAATGGAACCGAAACAGGATGAGTAGGTGCTGGCGCTGGCTGTGTTTCCTGGACCCTTCCTAATTGCCTTCTTGAATTTCCCATGTGTTCTGAAAGCCCTTTTGCCTTAGCATGTCCAGGAGGGAGTGCCCTTCCTCCCCGGCTGCCTTCTTCATGGGCCTTCCTCTATTGCTTCCTGTCCTGGTTACTTATGCGTGACAGACCATAGAGAAGTCACCGCACTCCATTCTTTCCTCTCCTATTTCAGTTTGTGCTCAGTGTGCACTAACACACTCTCTCTTAGAAGCAACTTCTTAGCCTCCCCCCTTCTTCTTTGTCTCATTCAGGTTTTCCATGCTTCTTGAGCTGTGTGAATGGTCTCTTGTTGCTCTTTTCCTCTTCTACCTCCTCTCTTTCTGTCTTTTCCCCCTTTTCACCGTTTCTTGTTTCCTCTTCCTCCTCTTCTCTTTTGGAAAACATAAAAATCCCTTTGTTGTAATGAGTTCACAAATCAAACCATCACACAGTGAATTTAGTGTTGGGTGGCTTGTCTCCTTCATTTTCATTTCATGTGTGTGTGTGTGTGTGTGTGTGTGTGTGTGTGTGTGTGTGTGTGTGTTTTGTATGCATGTGTGGCTGGGTACCATGTGCCTGCAGTATCCAAGAAGGCCAGAAGAGGGTGTTGGAACCTCTGGGACTAGAGTCAAGGATGGTGTGAGCCTCCTTGTAGATGCTGGGAACCAAACTCAGGTCCTCTGCAAGAACAACCAGTGCTGTCAGTGGTTGAGCCATCTTTGTTGCTTTGGTTTTGAGACAGGGTTTCTCTGCAGAGCCCTGGCTGTCCTAGAACTTGCTTTTAAGTCCAGGCTGACCTTGTACTCACAGAGATCTGTTTGCCTCTGCTTCCAGAGTGCTGTGATGAAAGGCATGTGCTTCTTGTTTTTTGAGTCCAGGCTTGCCCCTGCCTCGGCCTCCCTACTGCTGGGATTACAAATCCACACCACCATGCCTGGCCATTATCATTGTCGGTATCATCATCACCATTATCTTCATCATCTTCATCATGGTCTTCTAACCCAGGATGTTGGGCTTACTAGGCCAATACCCTACCATTGAGCTATACCTCTAACCCTCATTGCTTTTTTAAAAAACCCAAATTGATTATGTTACACTTCCCATCTTAAAAAAAAAAAACAAAACTCTGGCACAGCAGAGCACACTTCACGAACAAGGGCATATATCCATGCCTCTAGCCTTGCCTCTGCTCATTTGCTTGGTGCAGAAATGTCTGCCCCTGTGAGTGTCAGCCACCGTGGCCCTTACGCTTGAGTATGCTCCTCTGTTCACTGCTTCCCTGTCTTTCTCCCTGATGCCCTCTAACTGGCAAACTTTTTATTTTTCGGAGATGCTGTGGGGCTGGGAATATAGCTCAGGTGGTAAAACACTTGTCTGGTATATGCAGGGTCCCAGTTTCATTCCCTGGTACTTCCTTACCCCTCAAAAGATGCTGAAAACCCCAAATAGATACGGTTGGTTCATCGTCTGCCCATCTCCCTCTCCCAGTTCAGGACTCCTGGTCTCTGAACATATGCTTGTCCTCCTCACCCCAGAAGGGAGTCCATGGGGACGGCAATGCGCTCAGCACAGTGCTTCATGCACAGCAGCTGATGGAACCTTGCCACCTTGCTTTTTCCAGAATGCCTGTGCTGCTTGAGACCCCCTAGGTGCCCATGACTTTCTATGACCCGCAGCCACTTTCTTACTCCTTGTGACAGCCCTTGCCCATGTTATTCATGGTGACAGAGCTGTCCCTCTCTTCTGTCCCAACATGCCTGTAATCTATCTCTTACCTCCACTATTCCTGGAGTGTTCAGGACTGTCTCAGTGCAGGAGAGACTCTTTACTTTCTACAGAGCTTCCTCTTATCAAACTGGGCTGGTGTTTCCCAAAGCACGGCTTGGACCACCTGGATCACAGTGACTCCTGCTTGCTTGAAATGTGAGCTGTTGGGACGTGCCCCAGTTTTACCCAGTTAGAGTTGCTGGGCCTGAGGACCTTCTCTCCATCAAGTATCCAAGCAGTCCCAGTATTCCCTTTAGCTGTGAATTGTTCAGGGTAGTGTACCCAGTAATGTTCAGAAAGAACACAGCTTCTTTGCTCCATAGTGGAAAACCTGAGGAAGATTTGGGGTTTGCTGCAAAGCAAATGCTACCTCCTGGGGAGTCTCAGAACAGGTAGCTGTCACCAGGTTACTGCAGTGATACCCGATGTCCTCTAGAGAAGCCTTTATGCTCCTGTCACGCCTTGGCCTGTCTGGCAGTTCTCCCTCAGTGCAGGCTTCCTACTCCAGCACTTCCTTTAAGTCAGGTGTCCCCTGTGATGACATTTGGTGCATGCTCAGTCTGCGTGTTGCTACTCTGCTTTGTCCCATGCTCTGCCTGTGACTGCTTCTGCTTCTGGGGTATGTGTCTCTGACTGCTCATCTCCTTCCTGTCGCCCTGCAGGGGGCGTCCTCTACACCGCCACTGTGAAAAACTTCCTGGGGACTGAGCCGATTATCTCCCGTGCTGTGGGTCGAGCTGAGGACTGGATTCGAACAGAGACCTTGTCATCCTGGCTCAATGGTGGGAAGAAGGACAGGGTCACCCGGGACACAGGTCAGGTGGAGGCTCGGTAGCCCCAGGCTGTCTGAAGATCTGAGGTCATTGGTTTCTTCAGCCCCAGCCTTTGTCGCAGCTATGGTCCTGAGCCCGGCTGAGTGGGGGGATGAAGATGGAGACAATGAAATCTTCTTTTTCTTCACGGAGACCTCCCGAGTGTTGGACTCATATGAGCGCATCAAGGTCCCACGAGTGGCCCGAGTGTGTGCGGTGAGATCTCTGTCCTGGCTGGGTACCATCTCCCGGCGTTTGGCCTTCCATCTCTTCCTCCCTCTGTCTCTTTTGCCTCCCTCCTCTGGTTTGTTCTCTACCTAGGCTTCTCATCTGAGAGCTTGAGGAGTGTGAGGGAGAAGGCTCTGGGCGCTCTGGTGGCTCTGGCTCTCCCCCACTCTTACCCTTGGGACACACTGTGTGTAGGAAGTTGGTTTACATTAGAAGTTCAAGGAAGGATGTAATGATGGACCCAGGTTCAAGTCCTGTCCCACTATTTCCTGCCTCTGTGACCTCTAGTTTGTTCTTTGGCAACTTTGAAACATATATGTAGAGTTTATATAGTAATTGAGGACAAGCTGTGTTTTAAGGACTGAGGTCACAGTTCTTTGTCATGATTTACGTTGTCACTGTCCTTGTTATCACAACTCTATCCATCTCTGTGCTCTGTTACCCCCAGTCTCTCAGACTATTGTCTGTTCTTCTATATGTCTGTCTCCCCATCTATTCACGTGTGCTATGAACTCAGGGAGGACACAAGAGGCTCTACACACGTTTTGCCTGTATTGGTCTTCTAAAGAGTGTTTCCCATGTTCTTGTCACCCTAGGGGGATCTTGGGGGCCGGAAGACCCTTCAGCAGAGATGGACGACTTTTCTAAAGGCCGACCTGCTGTGTCCAGGACCCGAGAATGGCCGGGCCTCGGGGGTTCTGCAGGATATGACAGAGCTTCGACCTCAGCCTGGAGCGGGGACCCCCATCTTTTATGGCATCTTTTCCTCCCAGTGGTGAGGGGGCCCTGGTGTGGATGATGGGTTGACAGGGTGGGAGGTCTGTGGAGTTGGTGTGGTCATTGCAGGTGGACTCTCTCTCCCTCGGCTGCATGGCTCCCGAGTGTTTCTTGGGGATCAGCTCATTTGATAAGGGATGAGTGGCTGTCACCTAGCTCTGTCACCTAGCTCTCTCCAGATACTTGGCTTCAATCTGTGACTCCTCCAGGGAAGGAGCTGCCATCTCTGCTGTGTGTGCCTTCCGACCCCAAGACATTCGGGCAGTGCTGAATGGTCCCTTTAGAGAGCTAAAACATGACTGCAACAGGGGACTACCTGTCATGGACAACGAGGTGCCCCAGCCCCGACCTGGAGAGGTGAGGGGGTGGGGCAGGTCTTCATCTCATGCTTGTTTTTTTTTTTTTTTTCACCATCGCTAAGGGCCAGAACTTTGCTAAACATTCCTGACACATCCTGTTCCCTGAGAAAAATTGTCACCCGGGCCTGTCTCCTTTAGTGTATCACCAACAACATGAAGCTCCAGCAGTTCGGATCCTCACTGTCCCTGCCAGACCGTGTGCTCACCTTTATCAGAGACCACCCGCTCATGGACAGGCCTGTGTTTCCAGCTGATGGCCGGCCCCTGCTGGTCACTACAGATACAGCCTATCTCAGAGTTGTGGCCCACAGGGTGACCAGCCTCTCAGGGAAAGAATATGATGTGCTCTACCTGGGGACAGGTATATTTAAGCATCAAGCAAGCTGCCCATATAATGTATATTGTCACCATAGAGAGGTACCCTGTGACATCCAGGCACCAGAGTGCCAGGCGCAGTGCCAGTTAGTCCATTTTCTTGCCCTTAACCTTCCTCCTAGAGGATGGACACCTCCACCGGGCTGTGCGCATCGGAGCTCAGCTCAGTGTCCTGGAGGATCTGGCCTTGTTCCCAGAACCACAGCCGGTCGAGAGCATGAAATTGTACCGTGTGAGTTGTGTATTCGGGGAGCCTGCTGAGGGGAACCGAGTCTGTGGCCAGTTAATGATCTGGTCTGGAAGATGTAGCACACTTTCTCCCCCACTCCACTTCTGCAGGACTGGCTCCTGGTGGGCTCCCATACTGAGGTGACGCAAGTGAACACCAGCAACTGTGGCCGTCTCCAGAGCTGCTCAGAGTGTATCCTGGCCCAGGACCCCGTGTGTGCCTGGAGCTTCCGGCTCGATGCTTGTGTGGCCCATGCAGGCGAGCACCGTGGGTGAGTGGAGATGCTTTGCTTTGCTCTTTTGCCTGCCCTCCTGGACTCCGCCCCTCCCATATGCCTGTCTCATCTGCTGAGGCCATTCTGTCTGTGTGTGCCTTCTTGTTTAGAGCCTGTATCACTTGCCTGCTCGTCTGTCAGTCCATATTAGCTCATCTGTCTGTCCATCTGGTGCTGCTTAATTAATGCTAGACCTACCCTGATAGTGTGACTGAGTCCATGTCAGCCAGTGACAGACAGGCAGTGGGACTGACGTCATCTCTAGGAGACATTTCTCAGTTTCTGTCTTAGCGCTCACAGTTGGCCTTCCCCCCTCGCTGGAAATCCTCTCCTTTCGCCTTCTGTGCATTTTCCTCTCACCCTCCCAATGGCTGACTCCTCCTCAGGGTTCACTCCTAGGTTCCTTCTCTTCCCATTCTGATTTCATTCCAGTGACACACACATGCAGCTCTAGCAGAGCTGCGGAATACCCTTGTCACTCTGCTTCACTCTCCCCTGCAGTTCTTCATCAGCGACCCCGACACAGCCAGTCTATGCATGCACTGTGCTTTCCTCTGTCCCTCACATGTGCATCTCAGTGACAGGACTGCCGTCCCTCCGGGTGCTCACACCAGACATTGCACACACTGTACCTCAGATGATCGTGACTCCAGCGCCACAGTGGATCATTGCCGCACTGGCTTCCTCCACCTCCACTGCCACCAAGCCAGCGGTGTGTGTGTGACTGTGTGGTGTATTAGGATGTGTGTGTGTGTATGATATGTGTATATGTATGATGTATTTTTATGTAAGGTGTGTGTATGTGTATACATGAGGACTGGCAAGTGTATGTCATTGTCACAGCATGTGTGTCAGAGGACTCCTGGGATAGCTGTTTCACTGTGGCCAACTTTGATGTAGGTTCTGGGGAAGCAAACTCACTCAATCAGGATTGTACAGCAGGCACTGCATCCACTGATCCGTCCCCAGCCCAGACACTTCTCACTGGGGGCTCCTAATTGACCCTCTGTTGTCCACTCTGGACTCCTGCCATCCAGATGCTCTCAGAGGTGACCGTAAAAATACGCCACACTGAAGCAAACCCCTGACATCTCACTCACCCTGAGTACTTCAGAATGGCTTTATCACATAAGGACTCTCTTAAAAAAGATTTTATTCCTGGAAATTTTAAACATATTTAAAAGTCTGATAAATACGACTAAAATGATAAATTTGCGTATCGCCAGCCCTGCCACCACTGCTCCCTAGCCAACAATGTGTTTTTAACAACTTCACTCCCAGTTATTTTGAAGCAAATCTTAGATATCATCTTATTTTGTTCATAAACCTTTGAGTATCTCTAGCATACAAGGGCACTAAAAACAGACAAAAGAAAAGTGTGCTGGACACATGAGCACTGGTTGCACTTCTAGAAGACTCGGGTTCAACTCTTGGCACCTACAGGATGGCTCACAGTTCCAGGGGCTTCAGTGCCCTCTTCTGGCCTCTGAGGGAATTACACGTATGTAGTGCACTGAACGGGGGAAAAAGGTGCATGCTGCTGGAGGAAAGACAGATTGTCATTCAGTACAGAATGAGGCTTGTCCTCTGGCCTCAACACACACACAGACACACACACACACAGACATGTGCATGTCCACTTACATGCACACATACATATTCACACACAAAATAACTAACCGTGTTACACAAAGGGTTATACCTCTGTAGCCATACCCAATTCTTTATTTCTTAGTGTTATCAAAGATACAGTGAATGTTTCAGTTTCCTCATTTGCATATATTTAAAACAACCTGTATAAGTCAAGATTCAAATAATACTATCAATACTAGTAGGCTTATGTTTTTTATAATTGTCTTTTAATTTAAAAAAAATGAGATAAGATCTTAATCTGTAGCCCAGGCTGGCCCAGAACTCACCCTAATCTGTAGAACCTGGGCTGGCCTCAAATTCCTAGCGATCTCTCCTGCCCAGTCTTCCCACACACTGAGATGATAGGCGTCACGGTTTGTGCCTGACGCAAACCTAAGTCTGTGCATGCTGGGGAGGCACTCTCTCCCGAGCTAGTCTCAGCTGTGAGTCTTTCATTTCAGTTCTCTCAATGGAATAGTTTTGGCCAGCTGTTTGCAAAATGCTTTTTTATAGTAACATTGGGATTTTCTGTTTTGAAGCCCCATGTCGTGCCACCAGCCTGGCCTCACTCAGCCTTTTACCTGGGTGCTGAAGGCTTGAGCCAAATCCTCGTGCTTGCATGACAACCATGCTTACCCGATGAGTCACCCCAAGACCTCAGGTGTAAATAACAGGCACTGTGTAGCTATGGACAGCCAGTTTCACTTCTTAGATTTCTCTTCCTCTTTGGGGATACCCACCAAGCATCTTTCTAACAGATTGTCAGCTAGGAATACGTGTATATTTGACAGGGAAAATGCCTATGGTGTATTAAGGAAAGATTTGGTGCAGGGGAGAATGCTGACTAACTTCAGGAGGGATTTATAACATGATGGGTTCTGGAGTGAGTACTGTGATAATTTAGTACTTTGATAACCAAGTACTGTGATAACTTAGTACTGTGGTAACTTAGTACTGTGTTAACTGAGTACTGTGATAACCAAGTACTGTGATAACTGAGTACTGTGATAACCAAGTACTATAGTAACTGAGTACTTTGGTAACTTAGTACTGTGATAACCGAGTACTGTGGTAACTGAGTATTGTGGTAACTGAGTACTGTGGTAACTGAGTACTGTGATAACCAAGTACTGTGGTAACCAAGTACTGTGGTAACTGAGTATTGTGATAACCAAGTACTATGATAACCGAATACTGTGGTACTGGGAGTACCATGGGGCTGAGGTACTGTGGTACTGGATACTGTGAGGGTCTGAGGGGGTGCAAGCACATTCGAACACTAGATTTACCAGATATTCTCTTCTTTGTAGGATGGTTCAAGACATAGAGTCAGCGGATGTCTCCTCTTTGTGTCCGAAAGAACCTGGAGGTCTGTATGGCTCAGAGAAATGTGGGTAGGATGTATAGAAAGGGGCTAGGAAGTTGATCTTTTTTGACTCATTCAAAAAACTTGAACCCATGAAGACATGGCAGCCCAGAACTCAGGGCCCTTCCGTCTTTGAGAATCCCGTTTGGCAATGCCCCTACAACTCGGTCGTGTATCTGACGTCTCTCCATATACTTCCTGCCTGTAGCCTCATGTCTTTTGTGTCTTTGCCTTTTCTCCACAGAACATCCGGTAGTGTTTGAAGTTCCGGTGGCTACCGTGGGCCACGTGGTCCTGCCATGTTCTCCCAGTTCTGCCTGGGCATCCTGTGTGTGGCACCAGCCCAGTGGAGTGACTGCACTCACCCCCCGGAGGGATGGGCTAGAGGTGGTGGTGACCCCAGGGGCCATGGGGGCTTATGCTTGCGAGTGTCAGGAGGGTGGAGCCGCCCGTGTGGTGGCCGCTTATAGCTTGGTGTGGGGCAGTCAGCGGGGGCCCTCGAACCGGGCCCATGCCGTTGTGGGAGCTGGGCTGGTTGGCTTTCTCCTGGGTGTCATTGCAGCATCCCTCACTCTCCTCCTGATTGGCCGCCGTCAGCAGCGTCGGAGACAGAGGGAGCTTCTAGCTAGAGACAAGGTGGGCTTAGATCTGGGGGCTCCACCTTCTGGGACCACAAGCTATAGCCAAGACCCTCCCTCTCCTTCGCCTGAGGATGAACGGCTGCCCCTGGCCCTGGGTAAGCGGGGCAGTGGTTTTGGTGGCTTCCCTCCACCCTTCCTTCTGGATTCTTGCCCGAGCCCGGCCCACATCCGCCTCACTGGGGCCCCTCTAGCCACGTGTGATGAGACCTCCATCTAAAGCCAGGAAGATGACTGCCAGTCATGAGCAATCTCTGGAACTAGCGCCTACCAAGACTAGGGTCACTGAACCTAGGAGATGACCATGGCTGCTTCGTTTTCTTGGAGTATGTGTGATCACACGTCAGTGTCTGTCCTCTGGATTTGGATAGGCTGAGGGCCAGACCTTTGTCTTATCAGATCCCGTGAGAGATCAACCCTGTAACCCTCTGCTCTGGCCGCTTGTCTTGGGCCCACCAGCTTGTGGGGTGGAGCAAGGACACAGGCTCTGATCTGCTTATAGTGGGCCCCAGAAAGAGGGAGCACTGTGGGGAAGTTGGGGCGCGTGTGCCCTGCATCCTTGTGGTGGCTGTATGATTTCAGTTTGCTGACTCTGGGGAGCGCATGATCCCCTGACTGCCTTGAGATCTCCCCCAACTCAGTTTCCCTTTGTTCCTGGAAGAGTGTCTATACACTGGTGTGCCTAGAAGACCTGTCCATGTGTGCATGAATGACAGGGCCAGTGCCTAGGTGCTCATGGGGGTTTGGTGAGGAAGGTTGGAACGGGGGACAACTTTATCCTCGGTGGCCGGTGAGGGAAACCCCACACCCCCATCACCCCACAGCGCTTCTTTAACTTTGAGCAAAGTTCCCCAAGTGACCTTCTGATGGGAAGGGCAGCAGGACCCTGCCCGTGTGGCCCCGCCCTTCTTCTTGTCTTTTCCTCTGGCTGCCACCACTGCCGTGCCACCGCTGCGCTTTCCCTGGCTGGAGTGGAGGCTGAGCCTCTTTCCTTGGTTTCCATTTAAAATGAACTTCACAACATTCTAAATATTGGGGGATGACAAAAAGAACCCAGAAAAGTATGTAGGAAATACAGCAGGTTAAAGATTTGCCTCAGTGACTTTCACCCTTGCCCTAAAGTAAGAGTCCCCCAGCTAGGGTCCATGGACTCCCTGAAATTGTATGCAAAGTATCTGTCCATGTGTGTCGTGTGTGTGTCGTGTGTGTGTCATGTGTGTGTCGTGTGTGTGTGTGTGTGTGTGTGTGATGGCTTTCATCAGATTCTCAAGGCCTTAATGAGGTTAAAGGACCACCACAGCCCATAGTCACAACACTTGGGCCACATGGAGGAGGTGCTGCTCTGAGGCAGTTCCTCCCTGGCCTGCTGCCTGAGGCCAGTCCCTGGACACACTGCTGCTGGAGAGCCCACGTCTCTCCAGTTCTTGGAAGCTAGGCTCTGCACGTGCGCGAAGATACCGTCATCCCCTTTCTTGCTTCCTCATCCCCGTGTGTGCTGCCTCTCCTCAGTCCTGCTCTTGGCCTGTGAATGTGCCTCGTCCATCCCTGGTGAGGGACCTCAAACCCCGGTGATGATGCAGCCCTTTCCAGTTGAACTTTCTCTTCTACTTTCCTTGACAGCAGCCTGTGAACTACTCAAGAGTCCCCTTGGGTTTGGAGTTACCAGTGGCTTTGAGTAGGATCTTTGGCACGTAGTCTAACCTAGGGACATTGGTTATTCATCTGTAATGTGGGGATATACCTACCTCAGGGTTGCTGCAAGGATCACACAAGGAAATGAATCAACAATAAAGCATTACCCATGGCAGTCGATGTTGTCATTGTAACTGTTGCTTTATCACATGACCACCATGACAGGCAGGCAGTGAGCCCCATGCAGCGGAAGGTGGACATGCTTTCACTGATACCTGGTCTTAGATCATCTCAAAGCGGGCCTTAACCACCCATATCTGGTCAAATCTGTCATTTATTTTTAAAAAAAATTATGTGTCTATGCATATGTTAATGTGTGCATATGTGAGTGCAGCTACCTCAAGGGGTCAGAAAAGGGCACTGGATCCCTGAAGCTAACGTTGTAGGCAGTTGTGAGTTGCCTGATGTGTGTTTTGGAAACTGAACTCAGGCCTTCTCCAAGAGTAGCAAGTACTTTAATTGCTGAGCCATCTTTCCAGCCCTCTAGTCTTAAACATGGTGAGCGATGTTGTTTGCCAAAGTTTCCTTCTGCTAAACCAGGAGCCACAGATGTCATCTTTGCTTCTCTATGGAAGGAACACATGTACAAAGTCTTTGTGCTATTCCACTTTCAGGATGGAAGTGGATTTTACTTCAGGATAAAAGAGATTGAAAACACACACACACACACTCTCTCTCTCTCTCCAACTAAGAAGGAGATGCTGAAATAAGGATTTTTTTTTCAATACAGGGTCTTACTATGTAGTTCAGACTGGTCTTGAACTCACTATGTAGCCCAGACTAGCCTAGAATTTGTCATTCTCCTGCCTCAGTTCCCCAAAGTCTTGGGATTAAAGGTATACACTGGCCTGTCTTTAAGTCCCATGGTCAAAAGGAGAAATTCATGGCTCACTTAGCAGAGAAGTCAGGAATAAGACACCCTCGGAGCTGCACAAAAGACTTTAGGAGTCAAGGTCCCAGCCACTGGAACTAGGATTCAGTGTTAGAGGCAATCTGTCTGTCTGTCATCTCTGCTTGTCCTGCCTGATCTCTTTCTCTCCTGCTGTAAATGACCCCACTCAGGAAAGATGACTGCTGCTGAGATAACTGGATGAGCAAAGGCATGTGCTGCTGTGTTTGATCTCCAGAGCCCACAGGAAAGAACTGACTCAAGTCCTCTGACCTCCACATGTGTGCCTTGGCACACGTGTGCATGCACACACATGCACAGACTGAATAAATGTTAAGGAAAGGAAGAAGGAAAGGAAGAAAGGAAGGAAGGAAGGAAGGAAGGAAGGAAGGAAGGAAGGAAGGAAGAAGGATGGCTGGTTCACATCCTTTCAGCCACAGAACTTAGAAGCCAAAGCTACTTTTTCAGCTCTAAACCAGGAATCACAAGGACAGCTCTGCTCATATCACATGACTACATTGAACCAATGACTGTGTCCAAGGAAATGGGATACTGTGATTGGCCAAGCCTAAGTCACATGCATGTCCAGGGAGGGAAAGATTACATTATCAGAAGAATGGGCGTAAGGAACTTAGATAGTGTTGAGAGCCGCAATCGCATTACGGCGACTGCTTCCGGGTTCCTCGCCGAAGGCCTAGTGCGCATGCGCAAGCCACGCATGCCAAGGGCGCATGCGTGGGCCACGCGCGCCTTTTATGCTAATTAAGGCTTACGCCAGGGACCAATCCAGATCAGACTTGACATGATCCGAGCACTGACTGACCAACCAGGATCCGGGGGTTGGGACTTTTGGGGCTATATAAGGAGCAGCCTTTCTGCAGTTCGGGGCCCTCTCGCCTGCAACCTAAAAGAGCTGTAATAAACTGCGTGTCAGAAGAATTCATCGTGTGTGGCGTCTTCCTTATTGGCGAGGCGGGCGCTACGCAAGATAGGAAAAACAAAATGAAACAACAAACAAGAAAACACCAGTTGTAGTTTACTAAAGGTATTTTAGATATAGACAGTGATCTTTCAAAAATTAAATTTAAATATGTTCCTTCCAAATTAAAACTTTCTAATGGGCCGGGCAGTGGTGTTGCACGCCTTTAATCCCAGCACTTGGGAGGCAGAGGCAGGCGGATTTCTGAGTTTAAGGCCAGCCTGGTCTACAGACTGAGTTCCAGGACAGCCAGGGCTGCACAGAGAAACCCTGTCTCAAAAAACAAAACAAAACAAAACAAACAAACAAAAACCTTTCTAACGGTTTCTTACGACATCCAGGAGAAATTCCAAACCCTTCCTTCTAATTTAGAGCCCTGTTGGTTAGGATACTTATTCTCTTGTTCAAGGTATATATATAACTTTTAATTTTTAATTTATTTTTATTTTTTCTTCCCTCTCACTCAAGGTAACCACCATACCAGCCTTCACTCACATGGTGGACATGTTAAGGCTTTTCCTACCTTGTGGCATTAAGCTCCTTATTCATGGCAAGCCTGGCTCCTTCTAGTTATTTAGGGTTTATCTTAAATATCACTTCCAAGGTGAGGGCCACCCTGATCACTCAGTATAGATGCATGCTTGTCTGTTGCTGGGATAAGAGACCCTGACCAACAGTAACTTAGGAGAAGAAAGCTTATTGGGGACATAGTCCATTGTGGTAATGAAGTATGGCGGCAGGAAAATGAGGATGGCCTAGCAGTCAGGAAGCCAAGCGACCACATTTCATCCCCATGTTGTGTGTGTGTGTGTGTGTGTGTGTGTGTGTGTGTGTGTGTGTGTGTAGAAACAGAGAGAGACAGCCAGAGACAGGCAGAGACAGAGACAGACAGAGAGGCAGACACCTGGTCCCTAGTGATTAACTTCCTCCAACAAGGCTCCACTGCCTAAAGGTTCCATACCCTTTGCAAACAGCGCCACCAGCTGGCGGCCTGTGGGAGCCTGTGGGAGCCATTTTATATTTAAACTGCAACACTACCTTCTATCTCCTACTATCCTGCTCAGCATAGCATTTATCATCAATGTGGATTTCTTTTTTTTTTTTTTGCTTGTTTATTCTGTTAGAGTTATTTTCCTTCTTACTAAGTCTATTCTTCATACTGTCCTGCATCATAGCTGTTTAGCATAATCCTAAATGTATAGGGCCTATGAAGTACCCTACAGAGATGTCAACGATATTTACTGAATGAGTCCGTATGACCATGGCTGACCTGGCTCACTGAGTCATGGAAAGAACTAGGGAGTACTCACTCCTGCAGGAACTCACAAGGCTCCGGCTGCCTCGGTTCCACAGCTCTGAGTCATGGCTGCTGGGATCCTCTGTCTCTCAGGCTCACTAACTTAGTTGCTTTTCTGTTGCTGTGGTAAAACACCACAACCAAAAGCAACTTATGGGAAAAAGAGTTGGTTTTGGCCTATGGTTCCAGAGGGATAAAAGTCCACCAAGCAAGGAAGCCTGGTAGGCGTGGTGACGTGGCAGCAGGCGTGGTGACGTGACAGCAGGCGTGGTGACGTGCAGCAGGCGTGGTGACGGGGCAGCAGGTAGTGACTGGAGCAGAAAGCTGCAAACTCACATCCTCAACCACAAGCACAATCTGATCTTCCTTCCAGATCAAAGAAATTAAACTAATTTATCTGAGATAACAATATTCTTTACCAAGAATAAACATCTTAAATAGGAACAGTTGCTTTAACTAGAAATAAAAATGATGTCCATATATGTACTAATTTGTATGTATGGTACAGTAAACATTTTTCCTATAAAACTCCAGAAAGACTAGGATCACTAGTCATATTTTTAGCCAAAGAAACGGGTTCAAAGAAGGAGCCTGCTGAAGCTCACAGTCATCTCCTAGTTGAGTTGGGACTGTTGTCAAGCCTCTCAGATTCTGAAGCATGTGAAGAGATGTATTGCTGAAGATTTTCATCTTCGTGTTAACTCGAAGACTAACAGAAAAGTACAGTGATTCAGGGAGAAATATTTTTTTAATTAAATATGACTCAGTGTTGGTATGAAAACATGTCTGCAACATTGGTTAGTGAGAAAGAGACAATGAAGGGTGAGAAGAGTCACTCCAGATGGCTGGGCGCTAGCCGATGGTTCGGCAAGCTCTGTTGGACTGGGAATGGCTTAGAACATCAACACTGGATAAGACACTCAGTGACAAGGACAGGTCAGGATGAAAGCAAGAGCTCTACATACAGCTAAACACAGATACAGGCACACACAAGAATACTGCCCAGACCACAGAGGTGAGCAGGAATCCACCTTTCCCAGCTGATGTAAGGACGTGGGTGTTTGACTCTTCTCCAGTTTTGGTCTTGCACTAATCTTCGCTCTTTTCAGGCAGGGTGTATTAGGATGTCTGGTCTCAGAATGACTCGGCTTCTTGACAGTGTCCAATTCAAGCAATGCCCCGAATTCTTAAACCTTTCTTCAAATAACTTGCCTTAGCCCAAGCCCCATAATAAGCTCCTCCCACTGCCCCGCCCCTGACTGAAATGTCTCACGGATCCCCATACTCTTTTTAACCACAGAGAGTGATAAGCCCAGCTTGCGGCTGTCTGTGCTCATGGCTTTGACTGTGATGATAACACATCACTATCGTCACAAGCTTGTGTGGGTCAACACAGCCAAACTGTTAGTGATGGCTAGTTCTGGTAGAGGTTTTACCTTTAACTTATATATGACACGTGTGTGTGTGTGTGTGTGTGTGTGTGTGTGTGTGTGTGTGTGTGAAGACCAGGAGTTGATGTTAGGCATCTTCCTCAACCATTCTTCACTTTATTTATTTTTGATATAGTCTCTCGCTGAACCTGGAAACGATTAGCTAGCCTGGCTGGCCAATGATCTTCAGAGATTCTTGTCTCTGCCATCCCAGTGCAGGGATCACAGCCATAGACCACTGTGCCCATCTTTTTACATGGGTATGGGGGATTTGAACTTAGGTCTTCATGTTTGCTCCATGATCATGTTATTGAATGAGCTATCTCACCAGCGTCAACTTACATTTTTAATTAAAGCATTGCATTTATTTATTTATTTATTTATTTGGTATGTAGGTTTGGGCATGTGTAGCATGCATGTATGTAGTGGTAAGAGGGCAATCTGTGGGAGTTAAGTATTTCCATCATGTGGGTCGCAGGGATTGAAATGAGTATTTTTTTGTAGTTTTACATATAAGTATTTTTA